ACCCGGCCCCGCCCCTGGGGGGCTCCGCCAGCTTCTGCCCGGGCCCTGCCGCCTTGAACTTGAGGTCCGCCTTGATCTCCTGGAAAAACTTCCGCATGGCGCCGCCGCGGTCCGCGACCCGGAGCCCCGCCCCCTTTCCCGCCCGGAAGTGGCCGCGCTCGCGCCGGACACGTGACTCCGCGGCCGCTGGCTGGGTGGGCGGGCAGGAAAGGGAAGAAGGGGCGTGGCTTGGCGTCTTGCGTCACGCCGCTAGTGTGACGAGCCGCCCGCTGGGACGCTCTAGGGCGCGCCCGGCCTCTCTATGGCGCGAGGTCCTCCGAGGAAGGCTGCTTGTGGCCTGTGCCCTCGTGGCACGTGGGGCTCGCCCCGCCTGGGCGTGGGGCCTGCTCCCCTCAGCCCCACGTGGTGCCCTACACCCATCCACTCCAGACACCCAGGTCACGGCGGCGCGTGGGGGGACCTCCGCCTTCGAAGGGCAGAGAGAGGACGCCACAGCCTGCCCGCTGCCCTGTCCGGCCTCTGAGAACACGACGCCTCGGCGCAGCGATGGGCCCGGTTCCCTCGCTCGCCAGTTTGGGCGGGAGCGGGAATTCGGGCCCGGCCCCTCTTGGCCGCCCCTTCCTCCTCCTCGAAGGGCCGATGGGTAAAACTGCCAAAAGTCTTAAAGAAGGTCTTCCAAAGCAAAGCAGCCGTGTGGCCCGTCTGCAGTGCGCCACCGCACCTGGTATCTCTCACGGAGACGCTGCCTGGTGCCGGCCCGACTCGGCGCTCGATCTGAAGACACCTGCATTGCACCCGGCGGGGCTCGAAGGAACGAACGGGGACATCCTCAGGCCAAAGGCCTCGCAGAACGGCAGTCTCGCCGGCAAACTATCAAGCGATTTCCTCAGGAAAAATCACGCGCTCGGAAGCAAGCTCCGACTGCTGAGCAGATACACCCTCGCTCTCAAGATGTAGCAGGGGGTGGGCAGGTATGTCGCTAAAACGTAGCCAGCATTGACAGAGGAAGACATGCAGCCTCCGCGTTAGCAGACCGTGGAGAAACGCAGGTCTGGGACCCAGCGGCAGGTCGCACAACTGACTCCAAAACACAAAAAACACGCGAGCGGTTTCCTGTTGTCGCAAGACTTTCACTCGCTCCCACCTCAAGCTGCCTGCCAGGTGCACCCAAACCTGTGGTGTGAAAGAAGAACCCCCCCCAAACCCAGAGAAATTGCCAAGGAAGCTAAGAGGTGGTTAATTAAATAAAAGGAGTTGATGGAGATTGCTATACCTATGTACAGAAAGAGTGACAGAGAGACGTGATGGGGCTACAATACACACCTGAACGTGTAATCAGGTTAGTCCTTAATTTAGATGCCTCAAATCATCATGACAAAAGGGATATAATGACAGAGAGCTTCCCACTAGGGGGCAATGCAGAACGGCAGCACGAGTACGTGTGAGATAAAGTCTAAGAACTAAGATGACTTTGCTTTCATAAGGCTTGAAGAGTGAAGACAGCACACGTGGAAGGAGGAATGCAGCCGGCAAGTCACCTTGCCTTGATTGCCTCCTTCTGCATGAACGCTGAGCAGCGCCGCTTGTCAGACAGAGGTTTCCTGAGTCCCCTCCAGCTGGGAGATAAGCAAAACAAGCTCAGAACAGAAGCACCCAAATTGGCACAGACCAAGGCTGAGTAACTCCTGCGACCACAAGCAGTCCCATTAGAACGGATGTTGCTCACGTTTATGTATAATGACAGACACCTGTTAACACCTCAGGGACCAAACTGGGGCTTTTCGTGGCCAAAAACACGTGAGCTGCTACAGTTAGAACCGAAGAGCCAAGACTGTCTCCGACTCGGATCCTCTGCAGAACTGACCCACGCTTACCAGAGGCTTATGTACCTTTGCAGGATTGGCCTTTAGGTAGTACAGCAATGTCTGTGTAGGTCACTTGCTCTGCAAAGCATCCAGCTTGCTTCTGGAGCCTACTCCATAATGCTGTGAATAATTTACCTCCTCACCATCCATCTGAATGCTTTCCAGTCATGCATTAAGTGACATGATTAATTCTGTCCCGCGTGGTTCGTTCTTTCATTCACCGTCTCCCCAGAGGCAAAACTGCTATGCAAATAATTAATATATAATACAAGCGTGTACTTTTTTATACTTATTTGATAAATCCCAATGCTGCACTGGCACGATCGGCCAGTTTAGATAAATTGCAAGTTCATGTAAAAAAGTCCATGTCGCTGCTGAATTTGGCTTGCTGCTTTTAATGGCTTCCCATAAAAACGCTGCTGGCTTAGCTCAAATCTCTCTTAAAATCAATTTAGTTGAATGGGTGCAAGGTCCTACGTGGGCCATCTGAAAACAATTTAACTCCAGCTCATATCGATTCAGTCTAAGCCAGCTAGGAATCAATTTGAGCTGAATCAAAATAAGCCAGGCTTAGATGATGTTAGCAACGGACAGAGCCGTTTTGCAACGGTTTAAATAAATAGCTTTAGAATCGCACCTTTAAAAAAAACAGTACAAATCTGGCTGCAGAACAGGTCTAATTATTTTCAATGCTTCCTATTCTTCTGGCATAACATCATCAAAGACCGTTTTATAAGGTAAATATAATTGTATTCTGTGTGGTTAAAGGGACACCATCAAAATAAAACACGCAAGACTAAAGCCTAGTCTTAATTACATCAGTATAAACTCCATTATCTTCATAAGATTTACTCTGAATTTAACCTGGATTTTCATTGTATACGGTATCTAGTCCCCTGGTTTTTTTAAAGAAGCAAATCTCCCCACCTTTTTGATTAATGGCGTGGTTATTAAAACGTAAAAGGTAAAACTGGCCCTTGGTACAATTGCAAATGCCTTTTGAAATCAGTGGTGTAACTTGAAGCCAGAAATGTATCCAATCAGTACAGAAACTTTACATCCCAAAAGCCTTTTCCATTCCTGTGGTTGAGCTGAGGGAATACACTAATCAGTTTGGCTTCTTAGTTTACAGTATTAGCCAAATGGTACTGAGCTTGGATTGTCAGCCTCAGAGAACGTTCAAATTTGAGTCCTAAACGAGTTTCAATTGAAGCTTTAAACAAAAAAAAAAAGTAATGCTATTTCTAGATTGTGCATCTGTTTATTTATAGTGCTCGTGATGCTGGTACATCGTCAGCTCTGTGCCTTTGCTATCTGTTGGCATCTCTTTAATTGTTAACAATTGTTATGCCACACTGTTTACTGAGCGCTGGCCGTGGGATGAAATGTGGTCACTCATGCAAGTTGTTGAGTGGTTCAGTCTAGTCTTTTCATCATCCAGGTCCTGATTAAGAAGAGCATGTAAGCATATGCTTAAATTTAAGCGTATGTTTAAATTTTTCAGCATATGCTCCAACGCTGTCCTGAGTCCAGGCCTACAGGGTTAATTGTTCACATATCAAAGATAACGGAGCATCTCCATTGTAGGATTGGGGCCTAAATGCACAAGCTGCTGCCATCGCTGTTCCCACTGCCCGCTGAAGTTAATTCAGAGACCCTCTGGTTTGAAGGGTGCTGAGCCAGTCTGAATGCCTGCAGGCCTGAGTCCCTCCCAAAGGGATTCAGTGCAGAGCAGGAGGCCCAGGGAAAGCAGTGTCCAGTAGGGCCCTAGAGGAAAACCCACAACAGGAGAGTAGAGGGTGGGCAAAGGAGCGGCAGCAAGGACAGGCAACCACGCACCACCTCTGGTCCCCCCAGGCAGCTCATCCCCAAGCTGTCGCACCCTTCTCTTCTCTGCCCCCAACTCTTGCCCCTCGATACCCTTCTGCACCATGCCCCTTATTTCCCCTCTGCACCCTACGCCGCTCCTTACCCCATCGCACCCCTCCCTCCAGATCCCTGGTACACCCCTCTCCCTCCCTATATCCACCACTCAATACATGACCCTTCCTCCATCCCAAATTCCCTCCCCTCTCCAGACCCCAGTGCTCCTTATAGCCCCATCGGTCCATGACCTTCTGGGTCTGCTGCAGGCATCTTCCTACCTCGTACTCTGCAGACCTCTCACTTCCCATGCGGATGCTCTCGCCCACTGCCTCCACGCTTCTCCCACGGCTCGTAGCCATTGCTCCATGCCCTGGTGTTCCCACGGGCAATAACTTCTACCCACTCCTCTCCGTGGTCCTGTACTCTTCCTTCTCTGCAGTCCCTAATGAGGATCCTTATAGCCCTGATGCTTCCTCCAGGGCCTTTTACACCCAAGCCCCCCTCCCCTCCCCTCCCCCCTGTACCCTCTATACCCTGTATCCCCTACATCCTCTATACCCTATAGACTCTATACCCTATATGCTGTACGTTATACCCTCTGTATACTATATCCCCTATACCCTGTATTTCCTATCCTCCGTATCCAGACCCTTTATACCCTGCATCCCCTATGTGCTATACTCTCTGTGCCCCTTACCCCGTATTCTCCATACCCTACATCCCCTCTATGCCCTGTACGCTCTTTGCCCTGCACCCTATATCCTCCGTACCCCATATCCCCTCCCCGGTATCCTCTCCCCTGGAGGCTCCCCACCTTTTTTCTCCTTGCGCAGCCCCTTCCAGCTGTGCCCGCTGCCCTCCTACCCCTCCCCACATACTGTACGCCCCTTAAATGCCAATTATTATTATAATGATTATTTTCATATCATAATTATTATACTCTATGAGGATCTATAGTAAAACGCCCATGACTGTGATACTTGAACATTCAAGCTACTCTTACATGCTTTCTCCCACTGCCCAGAGGTGTCCTGAGCCCCTGCGTCCCGCACCCATACCCTCCCCCCGCCCCCACGTGCGCGCCCCGTTC